TGTCTATTTGCTTTTTTGTTTAGATTGTTGATATTTATACAAAAGATTTTCAAAGAACAATTGCAATTTTATCCGGCGAATTTATTGTGAAAGGTCAAAATTTAGTTGATCAAAATCAAACTATTTATTGGCAAATGGCATTAGCACTACATCTTTGGTAACTAATATCGATTTGACAAATAAGAAATGAACTGAATTGTATTACGAGCCAGTCGAAAATAAAAGGAAACAGATACAGTACAATGTTTGATCCCAATCATAGTCCTAGAATTTTGACATTAGTCAACTGACATTGCCAGTCAAGTGAAACACTTTCCTAATATTGACTTGATACTTTTGTGTTGCTTCAACACGAAACTGCACATCATTACTAATTTGAACATGATCGAAATTCAGCAAATTTATTTGGCATGTCTCGAGAAAAATCTTCTAATGTTGTAATTAAATCGTCTAGAAGCATTAACCAATTGTCATTGACTTTTGTGAAACATTATCTGAATGAAAGTGTTGAAGTGTAGGTCTAAGAATTTGAACCCTTCACAAACCTTGGCAGACGTTGTTATTATACGATAATAGATCGTATATTCATAACGTCTCGTTATAAAAAGTGAACTGTTTCATTATCGCATTTCTGAAGGATTAAGTGAAAAGATGGTGAAGAAATGTGTACCAAGATAAATAGAATAAAATAATCTTCGTATGATTAGCAACAACAGCTATATCGTGTTCCACATTTTAACACCGCATGAATTGCGTTAACAGCTTTTTTTCTATCGAATGGCCTCTTTAAACTTAAAGTTTAATAATAAGGAAAATTTTCACGACATCACTATGAAAATAATCGTTATTTCCAGTAAAAATCCATTAATAGCACTATCTATTTTCTAATATCAACGACAGTCGACTAATAGATGCTTTCACTTACTAGACAATCAAGTCAACCATTGTACTACTATCTATTTCAAAATATTATGTGCACCACTATCTTTGAATAAATTTTGATGGGAATATCATAGAGATCTGCTGTTTTCACCATTCAAGAGAGAAAAGACTGGCAAGCCATCGAACTATATCGACGACTGATTGATCAACAATGGACTAATCATGTGAGTTCTTCGTGGAAATTTTCGAAAACGATATTCTGAAGCTATCTCTCTTTCGGTCTGCGTAAGACCGGCACTCTTAACTTGTTCCGTTCGAGAGTTATAAGACCTCTGGTTTCAGCCAATTGACTGTAATCGCTCGGAAAAGCAGCTAGATAGAAGTAATTCATGATGCAGAGTCTACTGGTGATATTTGTTTTTAGATTTTGCAGTGATCTGATTGTATTATTTTCAATTTTTATGAAATTCCACAATCAACCTCCATATAACGAAGGAGTTGATATTTTGGAAATATCAAGATAATAGAGTCACATCATTTCGGATCTAAAAACAAACATCACCGTTCGATTCAGCAAGGTGAATTATCCATGCCTAGCTGCTGTTTAGGATAATTACAGGTCAATTGGCTGAAATCAGTGGTCTTAGGAAACGTTTTATAACTGTCGAATGGAACAAATTAGATATATCGGCCTTGCGTAAATCGAAAAGGAAACAGTTTCAGCATACTGTTTTCGAAAATTTCCACGAAAAACTCACATAATTTGTCAGTTACTGACCAATCAAATTTCGATACACTTCGAAAATCTTGGGTCTTCGCTTTTGAATGATGAAAGTCACAGGTCTCTATAATATTTCCTATCAAAAGTTATTCAGAAAACACTGGAGTGCATTATACTTTGAAATGGATAATAGAATTGAAAACTCTATGACTATTTATTATTTTGTTTAGGTTTGCTAATTCTACATCAGATTCAATCTCAACTATTGTTCGTGATTTTGAAACAGCATATCAAGATCATTATTGGCTTGAACCAATAGCTCATTATGGAAATACCAAAGCTCTTGATCTTCGTTGGAAATTATTAAAACTTTATACTGATGATACATATCCAATTGATAACGTATTTGATGTAAATTCATATACTCAAAATGCATTTGATTATCGTCTAAGGTAAGATAAGTTATTCTTTATTTTTTTTTTGTTCTTTTCATAGACTATTTTATATTTTTAGTTGGATGTTATATATGACACTTCAATCATTAGGTAGTTATCCGTTATCAATTGAGAATGATGCATGTTTACATGTTAATTTTGCTCGACAACTTGAAAATCTTGGTTTTTGGCAATTAGCAATATTTGTATTACTTCATATTAATGAACCAACGAAGTATATAAATTGATGTTTTTGTTTTCAAGGAAAAAGAAAATTTTTTTTTGTCGTTGTTGTTTCTAGCCGAAAAAGAATGGTTAATGAGTTTCTTCATCGCCATGCAACATCAAATATTGATTTAACACAAGATGAACAAACACTTGTTGATAAATATAATATTCCTATAAATATAATTTTATCAGCTAAAGCACAACGAGCTGAATATGATAAACAATGGATGAATGCTGTTCGTCTTTGGATTAATGCAAAACTATGGAGAAAAGCACATGATACTTATTGTTATTATGTTTTTCATGATACACTTTTAAAAGGTTTTATTAATCTTTTGTTTGCTTTTGTTTATATAAACAATTAATCTGTTTTTAGGAGATTATGAATTTGCAAAAGATGTATTAGATTTATTAGATCATCAACGAGCGAATATTGCACATTGGAGTAGACGCGGTGGTTTCGCAAGACAATATATTGAATTATTGATTATTTTTGATAGAATTAGACATGGACAAGTATGTAAAATATACATGAATGAATTTTAAATCGAGACTCATGATACTATAATTGACATAAACCATTCAAACCACATTTTTGAAATTAGCACCGCCATTTCTCCTTCTACCATAATTTCATTTCGAAAGTGAACTAAACTGACATCTCGTGCGCCATGACTCGATGTCATTATTCTTCAATCAGAAATTTCAATCGAATAGAAAAATATGAAGAATATAATAGATTTTCTATTAAGAGATCATCAGATGATTACTTCAAAGCTGAAATCGTAATTATGATAAAAAAGTATTATTAACATCAAGTTTGTTAGATCCGGCTCTCATCTTGTCTCATAGTTTTCGATATTGAAAAAATATCGCTTTGATCTGTTGACACTGACTCGCACATGTTTAGTCTTCATATATTGCAACAAAACTAATGACGGAGTATTTTTCTCAGTTAAAGCTGTGCCATTCTATTTCTTATTTTATTCTCATGTGGATATTTTTTCCGACATAAGTTATTCACAGTTGACAGTTTCTATTATGTGTTAATAATGCATACTTTGACAATTCTTTTTATTCTTTCTTTTCCAAAAGTTTCTATTCATGACAGTTGATAGTTTTATTCTTAAATGAAAATGACGACATTTTATTATGACAAATTCAACTTATCATTTCAATGTGTACATCTACAAGAAAAGTGTTTTGCAAGATTGAAAGAGTCATACTTAGAGATGTGCGTGACCAAGCTTTTTTGGTCCTGGCAATTTCTTTTCCAGTGATCTTGATCTAGAAAAGACTATTCAAGAACTTATTTGTATCACATCTACAAATATTCTTCCATACTAATTTTTTTATTTACTTATGAGAGAACTAACTAAGGTCTCTAGAGTTAAGTTACTATCGTTCTCTACTGAATTTTGCATCCAGCTTTAGGCATTTACCGAAAAATCAAATAATGAAATTTCCACTTGAAATTTTGTCCATAGACCGGCCTAATAATCCTGAAAATATCCTAACAGTGCTAACCGAAAAGAATGTTCCTTTGGCGAGACATTGAATTTTCAAGTAAACTCGATTTTTGTGGCATATCTGTGGCAAATAACCATTTTTGTTGAAATTCAATATCTCGATAAAGAAACATTCTTTTCGACTAAAACTTACAGGGTATTCTAGGAGTTACTAATCTTGTCTATGGACAAATTTTCAAGTAGGAATTCCATTATTTAATATTTCAATAAATACCTAAATCAAACCCAAAATTCAGTGAAATGATCATAAATCGGCTCCAGAGGCTCATGGGCACAAATCCGTTTAGGATTTTTTTAGTCTTACCAAGACCATCTGGTGAAACCGATATGAGCTCAAACGACGGATATCAGTTCGGCTAGCTCTCTCATTAGTCGACGACTAACATTTTTGTGGGTCAATTCTCTTGAATAATGTTTTGATTGTTAGGATTTATAAGAGAACCCACTAAAAACCACAGAATATTTAAGTATAATCTTTAATTATGATTTAGATAAATTTTTTCAGGTGATTCATGTCCCGATTCTGGCGACCAGAATCGCGAATAAATTCAGTCCTGCACATTTCTAGTCATATTTCTTTATTCTGATCTTTGTTCTAAACACGATATATCACTTGACCTATACGTTAAACTTTTAGACCTAATAATGAACTTGATAGAAGACATCTCATTTCGTCAAATAATAAATAATTCTATTTTGTAGACATCACTTTCCAATCGTATTCATACAAATATTCTTTCTCAAGTTCATCGACTATGTGATCAATTAGCAGATGTTATCGCTGATAAATATTTCAAAAAGTAATCGATCTTTGTTTTTCTTTATTCAACACTCATTGATTATAATATTTTTAGAATCAGTCTTGTCGATGTATGTCGAAGACTTTTATCCATCCTTAACTATGCTTTAATTTGTTCAAATATTCCAAATCTAATAAATGATAATGATGAAAACTTTGCAAGAAAATTAAATTTATTTCATCAATCAATACTTTCTAGTGTACCATGTTCATTACCAATTGATCTTTTACTTGAACAAATAGAATCAAAATATCGTTCTCATCGTCATTAAATAAGAAAAAAGAAAGATTCAAACGTTTTCTTTTGTTCTGTACATACTGATTAGTCCTGTTCATTTTTTTTCTTTTTTCTAATAAAAACAAAATAAAGATCTCCTAAACTTTCTCGCCTGATGATTATTTCAGATATGCAATCAGCTTCACCACGTATATTAACATTAATAAAACAAGCTAAACAAACATTTTCAATAATATTATCAAATAATGATCATAATTATGATACAAATGATTGTATTGATTCACTTCGACGTTCAATGAATCGAATAACAAAATATGATTTAAATTTTACATTATTTGATAATATTAAAAATCCTCAATCATTGAATTCCATTGATCAAAAAAATTTAGAAAAATTTTTAAATTCAAATGCACCTGTTTTTTATATAAAATTATATGAAGATAATATTATATCAGTGGGAATATTTATTATAAAATCACATCATCGTATGCCATTACATGATCATCCACGTATGTTTGGTTTAATTAAAGTTCTTGATGGTCATGGTCATTTAAATGCTTATAATGTTCTTTTCGAAAAAAATGAAAATGAACTTATTTGTAGTAAGCACATATCCACAACAATTAATTCACAATCAGAAGCAGCTGTACTATATCCAAATAAATTAAATATTCATGAAATATATGCAATTAATAATGATCATTGCGCTTTTTTGGATATTCTTAGTCCACCATATTCAAATGAAAATGATTGCACATGTTATATTGCTAAACCATCATCAACACCATCATCATCATCATCATCATCATCATCATCATCACAATCGACAACAGACTTAAATGAAAATGAAAGAAATTATATTTTAAAAAGAATATCGGACGATGAATATTATACAGAATCACTTCAATATACAGGTCCGCCAATATCCTTGTGATCGAATTCTTTTTTTCTTTTGTATATTTATGTATATGAGTGAATATCTATATTTAAAAAAAAATAGAGCACATAAAGAAAACAAAATGTCTAGTGATTGTGTGTTAAGTTTTCCTTTCATCTGTTCGTAGTGAAAATGAAGTTATGGGTGAATACATTTAACACAAAAAAACTAATAAAAAAAATTGACAGAGAAAACAAGGCACGAGAGTTCATAGAGGAAGATAAGAACTTTTTTTCTAATAAAAGAAGTAGTTCTATTTATTTACTGATCTTCGTATTATTTATAAGTTGATGTTTATTTAGATTTTCAATTGATTTTGAAATAAAACTCTTAATATTTTTTTTCTCGCTTTATTCTTATATTAATATCATCGCTATTGCATAAATACATTTATGTCTCAATATGTTCTCATGGACAGTATATCAAACTAGTAATGAGTCTTTTGACAGCAATGAACAATAGCAAAACAAAAAACGATAGAAACGAGTACAATATGATTACTGATAACACATTAACTTTCTTGATTTGGATCTATTAAATTCTACTGTTCTATCAAATTGATTCATTCAAAAAAGAAATTAAAACATTTATGCAACAGGTAATAATTGCAACAATATTTGTTCTAATCAATTTACATTAATGCAGTGCTGTATTGTAAATTTATTTTGATACTTAAAACTGGCAAACTGTTTTTCATTCAAAGTAATCTGTATTCATTTAATTGAATCTGTCTATAATTGAATCATGTTCTATGTCATGAACGTAGAGATCTATATCATCCGTGGCTAAAATCTTCAAATCAATCAGATCAATGACACATCACGCTTCCTTCTTTTTTTAATTTAATAACAAAAAAAAACTATATTGTAGTGATCACATATTGACATGTTACTTTTGATTGTCAGTCAATATTATTCTATCAATAATATCCCATCATGAATAAGATCTGTCATTATCCTTAATAGGTAGACAAGAGAATATTCTATTCTGGGCAAGAAAAACCTGTCATCGCATCATTTTTCTATTCATCTAATAGATTGAATAGCAATACTACGCAGTTTTATTTATTGCTTCTTGCACATCATAACAGATGGAAAATATGTTACACTATTCCTTTTTTTTCCTTTTTTTTTTCATTCTGTTTCTCTCTATCAACTTCTCTAGATAATGATGGATGCCAGACAATGATTCCGTTCAGCGACCGGTCGTGTGCACTACCACTAATACTCTATAGCATACGACGAAAGAAAAGCCGACGACGACTATGATGATGATGATTGATCGGTATTGGAGAGAAGCAATGTTATTTTTTGTTCTAGAGCTAGAACTGACTCACGTCATTGACCTGCTTATATGAGCATTGACTATAATTCTATACATTTCTGTCAGCATCACTCGAACCCATTCGAGGTTAAATAAGTAACTCTTTCTTATATATTAAGAGTGATAAAATAACAAAGAGCTTTTTTTTAGTCATCCAAAGTAGAAAACAATGCCTGTTTCTCGACATTCATTCCGTCGTGTTATTGGTGATATTGTTAATCGTCATAATATTAAAAATGACTCAACAAATGGATATCCTAGAAGTAGTAGTCGATCAAGTCAAAAAATTGATCGAAACTCTATGATTAGTAATGATTCATTATCGGTATGTTAAGATAATATAAACAATTATTTATTTATTTTCATTTCAATAGACGTCTCAAACATATTATGAACGATTACATAAATGTGAAAAAGAAGTTTATAAATCATTAAGTTATCTTGATCAAGTTTTAACACATAATAAACTTGAAATACTAGCGAATATTATAACATCATTAATTGAAAATATATTTGATATTGATTATATATTAAAAGGAATATTTGAACATCAATCAGAATCATTTCGGTATGAAATTAATTCTTAAATTCTTTTTTTTGTGTGTAATTTATCTTTTTCTTGTAGAACACATCTTCTTACTGATGTTTATTCTTTATTAGCTGACTTAATTGAATGGTCTGATAAAGTAGTTTTTTCAAAAACAAATACTGATGAGAGATATCGAAAAATTGCAAAAGATCTTTTACAAGCTGTTCAAGTAAGATTATCAAAAATTCTCTGAAATATATTCATTTATCTTGTAGATTTGTATTACGTCATCGATACAAACGCGTTCAGACTCATTTCAAAGTTTCCATTCAATCAACACGTAAATAATAAATGATAATCTGTTTTTTTTTTTTTTATTAATGATCGTTTTTCTATTTTAGCTCTATCGATAACTTCGTTCCAACTCTTTCTATAAAACGAGAAAAACGTTCTGTGAGTTCATCAGCTTCGATGCTATCTAATCGATCTCGAAATACAGCAAGTCCAAATTCTTTACTATTTCCATCATCACAAGAACAAAATAATGATGAATGTATTCAATTAATTGTTGATGATATTAATCAAATTGTTGAAAAATATACTCGTGAACTTGATGAGGCTTTACGTACAAAAACAACAATTCGTTCACCATCAATCGATTATATATCTCAACAAAATCATTTATCTATATCATCATGTCGTCATAATAGTTTTGATGTTTTATATAGAAAAAAATATTCACTTGAAAAAAATTCTGTAAGTCAACAGAATATATTTGTTGACAGTAACGAACATCGAAGGACAAATACAACAAATGATCCACCACCATTACCACCAAAACGACAAATAGGTAATCTTATTTGTTGATGCAACAAAACAGGAAACATAACAGTGCAAAAAAAATTAGAACAACAGTATGAAATCGGAAACGGAAGAAGAAGTTCTGTCAAATAATTTTTACAATTATGCATAAACTCCTAGATAATTATTGACGTCAAAGTGAGACACATTTATTTTCGAATAGAATACAAAATATGAATGTTTGCTGTTATTATCTAATTACGAACTAGTCAATAACACATCGATAGAAATACAATTGAGACTTTTAAAAATGCTTGCTTTTATTTGATTTTTAGCTCGAGCGTATATGTCTCTGTTCGATCGATATGATCAAAATGAAGCGGAATTATTTCTTCGTGACGCATGTTTCATTCCAACATCACAACGTCGTTTCGAGGACTTATTTGAACAAATTCATCAGCATTTTCCAAATTCACAAATATTTTCGAATAGTGACGAATGTTTGAAAAATAAAGAAGAAATAATGAAAAGTATTCATTATAAATCTGTAAGAAAACAAATTGAATTTTTTTCTGAATCAAGAAAACTTCATTTATTTTTTCTTTTCAACTTTAGTCTAAAGATAATATTTCCATAGATCGCTTAAATATACATGGTGATAATATTAATAATGAAAAAAATCAATATACAAGTGACTTATTTCTTGAGAGTGTATCTCATTTACTTGTTTTTAATCTAGTAAATAAATTTTTTATTACTTTCTTTTGAATCTTTTTGTAAAAAAAAAACTTATAGAATGAAGATCCTCCATTACGTGGTGGTTCTATTGATGCATTGATAATTCGAGCAACATCACCTGATAAAAAAGGTCATCTATGAAACATTATCTATCTATATATCACACTATGATTCTTCATTTATTTAGATTTCCTCTATCAAGAAGCATTTTTAACAACATATCGTACATTTGTTTCTCCGAGTGATCTTGTTGAAAAACTTATTCAACGTTATACATACTTTGCTCAATTTGAAAACAAGAAAAAGATTTCTCGATATGCATTTTCACTTCTGATTCGTGTTATTGATGAAATCGAGTATGAAATTTTACGTATTTCAAAAACTGAATTAGCTGTATCGAATATATTTAGAGATGATATTTTGTATTGTTTCGTAAAATTTACATGAATTCTTTGAACTGCTCAAGTGACAAGAATATTATCTTACTTATAATAGCTTCATATTATTTAAAGAGAAATATTGATGAATCTGAAAAACTCTAAAGTGAATTTTAAAATTGTAAAAAAATATTTTTCGACTCGAGTATGTCAGGAAAATAGTTAGATTTTTGAAAAGAAAGTCTGTGTGACTGTCTTTTCCATGGATTTGTAAGTTAGATAAGTAACAGTTAAATGTTCACTAGAAATTGTCGGATCCAAACTTTTCGAATCCGGACCCGATTGACAGAAAATTTTCAGAGTCGAATTCAATCAGGTCTGAGTCCGGAATCAGCCTGGTGGTCTCTAAAATCCACTAACTAACGAGAGGATAATCTGTAATAATTCATTGTTCATAAGTTCATGTTTTGAGCATATAGATAGAATCTCGAAAATAGAACAACTCCAAAAGAATTTGGGCGCATAGATCTTCTCTATAAAGACTTACGATAGTTTTGCTAGATTTCTACCATTGGACATGATATTGGTGACGAAATTGAAGGAAGGACTTTTTTACTCGAAATTTTGCCTATAAGTAGATTTAATCATTTTAAAAACGTCTTAAATCTTTCAATCAAAATGACTGCTTCTTTTTTTGAGGTATTCAATATTCAGAGATAAATTATTTATAGTCTTGACATTCTTCCTATCAGTGGTGGATCTATGATTTTGGGAAAGCAATGCGATCATGGTCATAAAAAAAAATTTTGAAGCTCAATAGAGATCGTACCGTCTCAATTTTGGATGTTTTCTACACAGAAAAATCAAAAAAGTATTCTGTAAAGGAGGAGCTATCGTTCTTCCCCACCCCTCCCTTTCTAAATCCGGTAATGCTCTATATATAAATCAACTATCAACTCACAAGTAATGAATCATTTCAGATAATTCTTTCGCCAGTTGATAATCAATCATTAAACACTCACTTGTTGATAACTGTTTGTTTTCTAGTAATGAATTATCTGAAAATCTAATAAAAACTATTTCACATTTTGTTACAACTCTAATTCGTCATGGCGAACTTCAATTAGGTAAATTATTAAGACGAAAATCGCTTGAACGTTTTACTAAATTACAATCAAATTCTGAACAATCTCAACAAGATGTTGTTCTTATTCAAAATTCGATTTCATCAAAACGCGCAACACTACTTGATTTTCATTCAAACGATATAAGTGAACAATTAACATTACTCGATTCCGAATTATTTCTTAAAATTCAGTTATCTGAAATTTTATATATGTCTATTGAAAAAGGAGAAGAATATTCACCAAATTTAGCAGCATTCACTGAACATTTTAATAATATATCTTATTGGTAATTATGTTATATGAAATTTCTAAGAGAAAATATACTTTTGATTTTTACTTGTGTAGGGTTCGGTCTCGTATACTCGAACGAAATTCTCAACGACAACGTGAAAATTATTTTGAGAAATTTCTTAAAATTTTAAAAGTAAATTTTTTTTCTTTTTCTATTATATTTTTAGGTTTCAAAAAATATTTTTTTCTCAAACAGCATTTACGCCGATTAAATAATTTTAATTCTTATTTGGCTATACTGTCGGCACTTGATTGTGGACCATTAAAACGATTAAATTGGTCAAAAAATATTACCGATGTAAGGTTGCAACTGTTTATTAATTTATTTGAAAAGTTAATTTAGGCTGTTTCTGAACATACCGGACTTATTGATAGTACTGGTTCATTTAAAAATTATCGTGAAGCATTAAATGCATCAGTTGGTCAACCATGTATTCCTTATATGTAAGTCATAGATGAAATAATTATTTAAAATGATTGTTAAGGGCATTTTCTTTTTCAAGTGGTTTAATTTTATCTGATTTAACATTTGTTCATATTGGTAATTCAGATTATTTACAAGAAGATCGAATAATTAATTTTTGGAAACGATGGCAACAATTTACAATATTACATAAACTTCGTTATTGTCGAAAATGGTTTGAAAGAAGATTTATTTTTTATTGATTCATATTGTTCTTTCATTTGTATCCTTTAGGGAATATAAATTTGTTCGCAATGATCGTATTTTATATTTTTTTAATAATTTTGATGATTATATGAATGAAGAAGCACAATGGATACAATCAGAAAAGATTAAACCACGACAAAAAACTAATCCTTATGCATGATAATAAAATATTATAGTTTTTAAATCGAGTTTTACGTACAAAGTACTGTATATTTATGTCAGATATTTCGTTGTCTTTTTCATAATGACAAGGATTAAAAACAAAAACAAAAGACTTCTATCTTTTATTATTTCTATTTATGCGTTGTGTGTTTCTTCCTTCGAGTTGATCTTTTTGTATCAAATATTGAATGTTTTCGTATGTTGTTTTCGAAATTTCAATAAATTTTACCGAAATACAGTGAATACTATAATTATTCAATAAGTTTTATTATCGAAGACAAAAGTTTAAGCGAATTAGTTCCTTGCAATTTTTTAAACATTTGTTTTTTTTTCATTTTTTCTTTCACATGAAGAAGAACTGACCTGGATCAAGTGGTGATATGCATAGTAACAGAGGCCGACTACATGATGTAATATTTAAGGGTACTCCATCTATCTATATAGATTTTTCATAATTAAAACAATGTTGTTTTAAGTGAAAATAAGTTTTAGTAATTTCGAGTGTTGTGCATTTCCTAATCAAGAGATTTGTCCTAAAACGAACAAAAAATAGACCAGACGATAGAGAATTTCACGCTCTATCTGTTTCTAAAAAAAAAAAGGGTTCCGTTGTCAGACTTGGTCTTCACTTCAAAAATCTGACTCTAACGAGAATAGGTGAAAAAAACGAAACTCGTTCCTACATATTCATTCTTATCGCAATGTACTATAAGTCAATGGAAAGAACATTCAAAATTGAACAAAATGGTGTATTTGAAGTTCTAATACAACCAGTCTTTTACGTCTATCTTTTTGAAAAAGGTTTGGGAAACCCGACTAACTTTTTTCTATTTTAATTATTTTAACTAAGAAACTACTAAAACTTATTTTCTCTTGAAACTAAATTATTTTAATTATGAAAAATCTAAATAGACGAATGGAGCCTCATCCAATATTGCATCATATAGTTCGCCTCTCTTATTATGTATATCACCACTTGAATGTGATCAATACCTCTTCGTGTAAAAGAAAAATTGAAAAAACAATTTCGCTTAAACTTCTGTCACTATCTATCCATAAATACAGTGTGAATTAATTTCAATTTTCGTCAATAAAGTTTCAATTAACATAAGAACAGCAAGTAGCTCACTACTCTTAATTATATTCAGAAAAATATGGAAGCTAAATTCTCAAAACCGTCATTTGGAGGTACCTAGTGAAGATGAAAGAAAACCGATATTAAAGATTCAAAAACGCTTGTATCATCTTGAGATCTTGATCTCTCTGACACAGATCGAACGAGTTTCTAGCAACTCACCATTCTCTAGAATTTTCGCGTTAGAACATACAGATTTTGTTGCAGGAAAAAACAACAAAGTATACAGGTCGAATGCGTACGCAGATGACTACAGAAATGTTGTGCTTCGCACCACATTAACTAGATATCAATTGAAATAAGTTCACAAAACAGTTAACTTGTCTGATCATTAATTACGGCATGCATACAAAGATGCTGCCGAATTAATTTTGACGGACTAATTCCAAATGTACGAGATGTTCACTAGTAATCACATAATATTTCTAGATTTCCACGATAGATCTTTATAAATAAAACGTTTTTCATTTATCTTTTATTTTTTTCTATTGCAGAGAAAGATGTCAAAGTCTTATATCAAGCAATGGAGATCAGAGACTTTCAACACAGAGTTATCCTTTTGAGATTCAATCGAATTCGAGATGTATTTCTTCATTCAGTATTCTTGTTCATCTATGTTCTCTCTTTCTCCTTGTTGTGTGCACATTTATTTATATTTGTGATCGCTCATTTTTTAGACTTTTCCTCTCACTTATTTCATTTTGATCGTTACTAATCGTATTCTCATTATTTACAATTACTCATTCATTATTCAAATTCACCGTGCATTACATACTTATCTTCGGCACCGATACTCATCTTATTAGCTCTTTCTTAGTCGTGCATATCAGTGACGGTGCCAGAGGGTCGGTGAGATCTCAGTCGCACCCTGGCTTGGTTTTTGAAAGATATGGTTTTTTTTGACACAAACATGTATTCATTTTTGCCATCAAACGTTTTAACACATTCTATTTTGTGGAACTCGTATGTGTTTTACATATGAGTTCCATAAAATAAGATACATGTGTTAAAACGTTTGATTGTCAAGACTTGTACATTTTTGTATCAGAAAAAATATATCTTTTAAAAATCTCGCTCGTAATGCCTAAAGGTTCATAGGGAGGCGGTTATGCCTAACCTAGTCAGAAATCCTGGCTTCGCCACTAGGACACATCTGGCTCTTTGCTATTAAACTTCTTCTTGATTGCTGCCTTCAGTCAACTACTGCTTCATCTGTACACATTATTCTTGTTCTCTCTCGCTCTCTTCTCTTGTTAATTGTCATTCGTCATGTGATAAAATACACCGATGAATCTACACTCACGTTTAAGTCAATTTATTATCATTTTATCACGTGTCATCTCAGTAGCATCTGAAATCGCATCCAGTTATATGTTATTGCACCTCTTCCTTAAATCTTGAAAAACTTTAATTTTTCTCCAGCAAAAGTTTCAGCTCTTTATCGATCACCAAATTCCAAAGAAAAACGTGGAACCCTCTCCAACTCCACTTAACTTAGCAAAAATCTTGTTGTTAACTTCATGAGTCATAGACCTTCCCCCAACTATAATAGCTTCGGAACATCAACTTACAAGTTAATTAACACTACATTATCAACTTGAATTGTGATTAAATCTCGATAAGAATCTAAGAATGTTACTATATTAGAATGAAATACATCAAAAATAGCTATGTAAGATAAGATTAATAACGAAGATAATATTTTAATCTGTCTATTTCTTCATTCAATACTTTATATATGAATATTGTTAAATAAATGTAAATTCTTAGTTATTTCTTTTATTATTAAACATGTGCACATTTCTTGTGTGTAAAGCAACAAGGATAAGAGATGAAATACTCAAAAGCAAGCACAACAATTGAGAAAGAAACAAAGAAATGTCATACAGTAAGAGAAAAAAAAAAAAACAGTTAACAGATCAATGGACGAGAAGAAAAAAAAGAAAGAGAAGATTTTTCTATTAAACATGCGCAATGTACAAACAAAAGAAAAAACAAATATTCGAATTTTCGACTACGTTTTTTTTCTACATCTTGTCAATCCCAATTGGTAAAAATAATGCATTAACAAGAACAATACATTTGAAAAATTTTTAACAAATAAACCAAACAAAGTGTTGCTGGCTCACAAGAGATTGCACAAAATGAGATGTATAAATTTGCACAACCGAATACGAAAGAAAAAAACAAAAACAAAAACAAAAAAAAAGAATACTGTCTTGTCCTATCTTAATTTTCATTTATTGCTGCACACATCATCATCATGATCATATACAAACGAAGAAAAATACAGGCAAATACTAAAAAACAAGAAAAAAAAAATGTCTTGGTCATGTCATTATTGTTTTTTTTCTCATATTTATGTATATAATATTTAAATGAGATATAGAGAAGTAATAAGAAACAAAGAGAAAAAAAAGACACAAAGGCACCGATAAGCAAGTAATAGCGAACGCAGACATAAGTTGTACAATAGAAGAAATAAAACAAAACATGCAAAGGTTTTTCGTTTCTTTTTTTTTATTGTTGCCAATATGATGGTGGAATAGATTGATGCATCTGTTCCATAAAATTTGGACCATCAATCGAAGATGATTCTGTTGACATAATACCACCAGGACCGGTTGGTGGCATTGGTCCTCCTAAACCCATATTTCCATTTAAATCTTCAGCTTTTTCTTCTTCACGTCGTCGTAAACATGCAGCTTTGGGATTTAAATTACGTTCTAAACAAAAGAGAAGTTTTACTTTAAAGCATTTTTTTCTTTTTCTTTTATTCTATACCTCGAACTTGCTGTTCAAGTGTTGTTATAAGATTAACAGCTTGTTGAAGTATACCTAATTTGGTAACGGGTTTATCATTGCGCATGTGAATTGAACACATTCGACCAAGTTCTTTGAACGCATCGTTTATGTCGCGAACACGTAATCTAAAACAAAGCTTTTTAAAATTTAAGAAATACTTATGTTGTTCTTTTTCTACCTTTCTCGTGCATTATTAGCTGCTCGTCGATCTTTTTCTCGTCGTTCACGTTCTTCAGGTGTTTCATCTGGGTCAATACTACCTTCTGAACCAGGTCCACCACGCATACATGATAAATTTATTTGACTATTTGGACTAAGTGTCAATGAACTGTCAAAAAAAAACAACAAAGATATAAATTTAGAGTTCTTTTTTTGTTTGTTTTTACTTTCGTAATTTTGATGATGATGATGATGAAGGACCAATATGTACATTATTTGTAACACCACCAACAGATATTGTTAATGGTGATGCATTTTCTTGTGATATGTCAGTTAATGTTTGTTGTCGTAAATTAAATTCATTTAACTTATCTGTTGTTAATTGAGATGGTCCAGTTGTTTTTGCCGTTGGTGGTGGCGGCGGCGGTTTATTTTCAATATCTAATTTAACTTTATCAATACATTCAACTTTTAAATCTGGATTCACAACAGTATTTGCGTCTGTAGATGAACTTGATGATGATGTCGAGGGTGGATTAGCATCTAGATTAATTGAAAAATATCAATAAATAAAAGAATCATTTATATATATATATATGTATAATTACATGTTAAATATGGATCATGATGTGGATTACGTGATGATGTATCAGATGTTGATGATGGATGTAAACTTGTTGGATGAGTTAAAAAGGCCGAATAAGGTCCAGTGGAATGTGGATGATGATAACCAGTATAATAATGATGATAATCTGCTGGTGGTTGACGAAATGAATCATCAACATCTAATCTTGGTGGCTGAAAAAAAACAAAGAAATAGATCTTATTTTATTTCAAATGCAGTCAATAGAAATTAAAGTCCCATCACCCTATGCTGTTTTTTTTAAAACACACAAACC